TAAAAATATTTATAAACAATAAAATTGTTAAAGTTGTAAATTACTTTAATATATATGAAATTTATTTAATTAAAAGACTTTAAACTATAATAAAGAAAAATATTATTTTAAAAAATATATTACTAACTTTGCAAAATATTGTAATTTTAACTTTAAACAATAAAAACTGATTTCTAGAACATAAATAAGAATATAATTTTTTATGAAAGCATTTATCGTACACAAAATCTATTATATTTGTTTTATATATTTGTTTTATAAAAATAAATTTATATAATAAATATGCTATTCAATATTATACTTTTATACAATTAAATATAATTAGCTAGTTTTCTCCATTTTGTAAAGCATAATAAGGATACTTTTCTATCCAAATTGTGTCAAAAGGTTCAGCTTGTTTCAATATTACAATTTTTTCTGCATGAAATTCTAAATATTTAAAATATAATTAATTTTACAAACAAAAGTAATAAATATAAAAAATAAATTATTATATTTATATTATTATTATTATTATTATTTAATTCAAAAATCCTAATTTTAATAAAAAATTGTGTTATATAGAGCATAATATCCTTGCATATGAATTATATTAGAATTTGATTTATACAATTTTTTTTATTAATCATTTTAAAAAAATGAAATTAATTTTCAAAGTTTGAGTATCTTTTCATTTTAAATATCATTTTGAGCAAGAATAAAAAAATTGTTTTCATGTTTTACATATACATAAACTTTCATTAAAATCAAGATTTTTAAGTTAGACAAATTATTTTCTGTTATTTCTCTATAAAATAAGTTTCTATATATATATTCTATTTATATATATTTATCTATTATCTATAAATAGAATATATAATTAATTAATTGAATATTATAATAATTAATTGAAATTTACCTAAACAATATTGAAAAGCGCATGCAGCATCAATTTTATTATAACTTTCTGGTGAAATTAAATCATGAAATTTTATTAATATTCCTTCGTTCCAATGTATAACCATTAATGCCAACAATTCTCTTTTAGTCAAATATGTTTTTGAACTGTAACAAAAATAAATATTTATAAAATATTTGATTATCTATTAATGTGATATAATAAATGTTTAATATAATAAATATATAATAATAATTATAATAATATAATAAATAATTATCTCTCTAATAAAATTTTTAAAACTATAATTCGCATTAAAATTTATTTTTTCTTAAAAGAAAAATTAGAATTTTACTTTTTTTAATCAGATTTAATATAATCTCTAATATTATGAGTTCTTTTCTAAAAAATTTAGAAATTTATATTCTATAAAGTGTTTTAAAATTAAAATTAAAATACTTGCAAAACTAAATGAACAAAAAATTTTACCTAATTTTTTCTTCAAAACTTATAATCTCAGAAATTAAAACTGTTTCAGACTCTTTTTTTTCTTTTGTTTGTTCTTCAAATTCTTTCACTTCAATATTCTCTATTGGAAGTATCTTATCTAATGTCTTAGATACATCAATTGTTTCAGTTGTAGCAATCATAATTTTACTTGATAATTCAGTTATTTGATCTCGAAATCGACTTGAATCATCTGCGCGAATAGTTTCTCCAACTATAAAATTAAAATTTCAAAAATCAGTATCTGTATTATATAAATAAATATATGTTTTTATCTTATCAAAAAATCATAGATCAATAATAACTTCATTTATGAATAATTGCATTTTATTTTCGTATTTATTTATCTTATTATTTTATAATTAACAATAATAATTAATTAAAAATATTTACTTACCTATTGTTTCTTTCATTTTAAAGTCAAGCATATCTTGAAACTCATTTTGAACTATCAAAGGCTTTTTAAAATACTGATTAAAAAATTCAATTAATGTTTTTCCCCATGATCTATTATTAATTTTCATTGAAGGTTGTTTCAGATATTCCTTTGCTGATGGTAAAATAGTTGTAAATCGAAATTGTTCCTGAAAATTATATAAAAATTTTATATATATGACGCAAAACAAATTTTAATTTTAATTTTAATATATTCAGTTAATAATTAAATTATGTTAATTAATAATTTTTGATATTTATTTTAAAAAATAGTCAATTTATTCCATGTTTTCAATATTTTATTTAAAGTAACTCACTATAGTATGAGCGTAAACATTTTCAATGTATCTTCGCATAATAGTATCTGTTAATTTAGTCTGTTTATCTAAATATGTTTTTTTCTTTTTGGTTTTTTTATTTCGTTCAATTCTATGTTTTGAAACTCAGGAAAAACTTTTTTTTGCAATTCAGATGGTAAATCAGGTGCATATATAATTTCAGTTTTTGGTGCCGAGGGTAATTCAGCTAATTCTTCTGCAGAAGTTATCTATAAAAAAAAATTTATAAAATTAAATATAACGATTTGAAAAAATACTAAACAAAAAATCAAATATGAGAGTTTATATTATATTTTTTCAGTTTTATTTATTATTAATATTTTTTTATGCATACTTTTCTTCTTTTTATTGGAATTTCTATTGGAGATTTTGAACTTCTTTTTTTTAGGAGTTGCAGAAATATTTTTTTTAATATGATGATCTAAAAAATAATATTTATAAAAACTATTAATATATCAAAAATATTTGTAAATGAAATAATCAAATATATTAATAAATATTAATAACTTTCAAAAATAAAAAATGATTCGGGTTGGTCTCTTCCAGCAGATGCTAATCGTGTTTCTTTCTCAGTTTCAATTGTTTCAATTTCAAATTTATTAACATCTAATAAAGGAACTTGTATGGATTCATTAGAAATTTCTATTGACTGGTCCCAATGAAATCTTCGTATTTCATTTCTAAATAATAATTACAAATAAATTTAAAAATAATAATTATTTTAAAAAATATAATTTTAATTAACTATTAAATAAATAAAAATAATTTTTTTAAACATTATCATATTTATATATCATATTCATATTATCATATTCTAATAATTTTTTAATATTATATAATTACTAAATTGTATAATGATTAAAAAATATAATAAAAATATAATACTAACAAAGATAGTTCTTCCACTCCTGGTAATATAAATTTCTCCATTTCATGAGTTGGTAATGTCCCAAAATTCATTTCACTTTGTATCTATAATTGAATAATATACAATTGAATAATATAAATATTATTGACTTAATTATATAAAATAAATATAGAATAAAATTTTATTGTCGCAAATAATATGGTTTGTTTTTTTGTTGTAAAAACATTTCATTTATTTTACCAAATTTTCTATGGCAAAAGAATATGGTTCTTCGATAATTAAATGCAAATTTGATGACATTTCTAAATTCCGGAAAATCTCATTTATAGGAGGAATTTCCGGTAATTCTAATGACGTTACTGTGTTTAACTCTTCTTTATACCTAAGAAAAACATTTGAAATTTTCAATATTTTTTTTATCAATAATTCGAATTATATAAATTTTACAAATTACAATTACAAATATTATAATCAAACATTTTTAAATTTCCAAAAAAATGCTTAAAAATTTAAAATTAATTGACTAATTTAAAAATAAATTTACCTATTTATTTCATGTAATTTCCAATTTACTTCAAATAGATAATCTATAATATAGAAAAAAATGAAAAATATATTTATTTTTAAAAATAAAACGAAATATTAATTTATAAAATTTAAAAAATTGATGACCTTGAAAATATTTTGTTTGATAAAAAAGTATTTTTGTAGCACCATACATTAATTGCGAAGAAAGATAAAGACTGAACCTGCCATAACTTTTATCATTTCGTATTTCAACTGTTGATAAAATTTCGTTGCTAAAAATATAACAATAATTGTACATATATATATATATGTGTTTATATTTATATTTATTTATAAGTAATAAATAAAAATAATATAATTTTATTATCATAACAATAAATAATAAAAAATAACAATTATTAATTCATAAATATATTAATATAACATTTTTAAATTTTGAAGCAAGGGTAAAAAAAGTATCTTACCAAATATAGGATACGTTAATCTTTTTAATTAATGCTGGTTTACAAGTTTTTTTAAACATTTTTTCACTAAAAGTTGCAGCTAACCAACATCGCGCCAATTTGCCCTTTCTTCGAAGAGAAAGAAGTTCAGTTGAATAAAACATTGAAAAATTAAATAACAATTCAGAGATAAAATGCGAATCAACACCAATTGATTTTTGTTCTATATTCAACGGAAATGAACATTATTAAAAAATCGATTAATCGATTTATTGAAGCGCCCCCCCCTTTAGGAAATTGAATATTCTACAATTATATTATATTATATTATATTATATTATATATATATACATATACATATCACAATATATCCATATTTAAATAATATTTTAGAAATAAATATAAATATAGTTTCATTAATTAAATAAAAAAATTTATTTATATTAATGTTATTTATTTTAATGTTAAAAAATAATATTAATATTTTTTTAATTTATTTTAAAATAATTTTTTTTCTTTAATTTAGAATTTTCTTTAAATTCTATAATTCTTTAAATTAATATTTTTAAATTATAATTATAATTATTTTTATAATTCTTTAAAACTATTTTTATATAATTATTTTTTACACTAAGTATATACTACTAATATATACATATACATATATTGTAATTTACTTATAATATTTAATATCAATATAATTATTAACTGTGTAAAAATATATTTATTTACAAAAAAAAATTGAAGTATTTAAAAGTAGCGCTTTATTTTTTATTTGTACATTTATGTTATATCAAATAACTCATTAAGAAATGCGTAAAATATGAATCATAAGAATATGTTAATAAGTGCCTATAATTGTGCCTTATTTTAAGATCATATTTAATTATTTTATTATTTTTTATTTGTATACATTGTACAAAGTTTTAGTTTTTATTACTAATATTATATACATTATTTTATTTAAAATTATAAATAAGAATAAATATTTCGACATTATACATATATTCATTTAGAATCATGCAATTGATCTTATGAGTTGTCACTGACAAGTTTTCAAATAACCTCTATTATACTGCTACATAAAGGCATGAAAAATTATTTAAATTTCTTCTTCATTTGTAACAAATTCAATTAAAAAAATGTTTTCGAGTGGACCAAATTATACCAAATTAAAAACACATTTACGTTTAACAATAAATCGGCTTAAATTGCTTGAAAAAAAAAAACTGAACTTGCCCAAAAAGCACGAAAAGAAATAGCTGATTATCTTGCTGCAGGAAAAATTGAAAGGGCAAAAATACGCGTTGAGCATATTATTAGAGAAGACTATATGGTTGAAGCAATGGAATTGCTCGAAATGTATTGTGATCTCTTACTTGCACGTTTTGGACTTATTCAACAAATGAAGTAAGTGATGATTCAAGTGATGAGAAAATTTTCAAAATTTTTAACAATCTTAAAAATAAAAATATAAATGATAATTGATATTTTAAAATTTTTATATTTTAAAATATAAAAAATTATAATTGTTATATGTATATATTATTAATATTTATTGTTATAGAATTTAGATGAAGGTTTAGCAGAGGCTATTTCTACGATAATTTGGGCTGCTCCTAGAATACAAACTGATGTTCAAGAAATTAAAGTAATTGCTGATATCCTAACATCAAAATATGGAAAACAATATACAGAAGCATGTAGAGAAGAGGCAGTACAAACTATTTCTGAAAAGTTGAAACATAAAATGAGTGTGCAATCACCATCTAAACTTCTTGTAGAAAAATATCTTATAGAAATTGCAAAAAATTATAATGTTGAATATGAACCAGATCCACAGGTAGAAATTATAAAATAAAAGCATTATCAATATCACTTTTTGTTGTGACATTAGGTATTTAACATTATAGATAATGGCAGAGGGTCAAGATGCTTTATTAATAGATGTTGAAAATAATACAGAAAGGAACAATTTAGACATAGCTTCTGGAGGCATAACTGTACCACAACCTGTTGGATTTATTGGTTTTCCTCAAGCTCCTTTATTACCAAATCCTGTATTTAATCTAATTGTATGTAATATTTTTTTGATTTTTTACTCATATTTTTATACTATAAATTATTTCTTTTAGAATTCAGAAAAAGGAACTATAGGATTTGTAACTCCATCAGCAACTTTAGAAAGTAAAGATCAAAATGTTCCTTATAATCCAAGTAATGTTTTGTACAACATTCCTTTAGATAATTCTAATGGAAACAAACCTGTGAGTGATATAATATGAATTCAATTGAATAAAATTATTTCATGATTAATAAAATCTTTATATTTTAAGGAAAATAATCAACCTCCACCATATGAATCATTTCCACCTGATTTAAATAAACAGGTAATTTAACAAAAATAATGATAAATAAATTAAAAAAAATAATCAAGGTATCAAAAATATATAGGTATACAGTATAATATTTTAAGTTTATTAATATTTTATTTTTATTTTCTATTTTTTTTTTTTTTTGATTTTATGGATTTATTTTATTGTTTATTATTATCATTTTTTAACATATTAGAGATATTTGTTATGTTAGAGATATTTGTATTTATATAATACTTTTATTTATGATTTCCTATTACAGTCTGACCAGAAACCAAAACCTCAACCGCGATCGAAAATGCCGATGAATGATTTTCAGCTTCCAGATTTACCAACTGTGCCATCGGAGAATAATTTACCATCAAATAATCCATCTACAAGCGAAGATATTGATTTTGATGATTTAATGAAACGCTTTGAAGACTTGAAGAAAAGAAAATAATTTCTTAGTTGTTTTAAAATGCATTACAAATATATATATAATATAACAACAATATAATACTGTAGGTATAAATAAAAATAATTATTATTGTTTTAATGTTATATTAATATATAATATTAATATTATAATTAATAAAATTTAAGTAATTTTCTATTAATTAATATATATATAAAACATATATAGGTAAATAAAATAATATATATAATATTATTTGCAATATTTTTTCAAAATGTTATTATAGATAGAAGTTCAATTTTATCAATATTATAAAAAATTTAGTAATTAATATATAATAGTTTCTCGGTCTAGTTTGATAAAAAAATGATTAATTGAAAGAATTGGATAATAAGAATTAATTGAATAATTGAAAGAATAAGGGATTAATTGAATAATTAAGATAATCAGTAAATTAAGATATGAGCAAATTTTATTTCTTAGATCAACAAATATAAATATATCAGTATAAATCGAATAGTATAAATATAAAACTGTAAATAATCTTTAAAATATAACATATGCATTATCCAATATATATTTAAAAAATAAATATCATGAATGTATATTATATTAAATTTTTAGGAAAAATATGAGTATAAGTATAATAACAATACAGTTCAATTATATTTCAAAAATTATTTGTTTCACAAAAATAGAATTTACTACATAATCATTTTTTATTTTGCAATCAGAAGATTGGATAAATGAGGAATGAATACAATTATTCACAAAAATATGCATTATTCATATGTTACTCCAATGATCTATATCTATGTTAAATTATTATATTAATACTATAAAAAAAATAAAACGAAATTTTATTTCTTTCAATAAAGCATTAGAAATGTAAACATTTTATTTTCATTATTTAATTAATTTAATATAATAAAATAATATTAAAAAGTAAATAAAATCACAATTATTTTTCCCATTACAAAAATATTTGCACACTTAAAAAATTTGTAAAATAACTAAAATAATAATTTTTTATAAAAATTAAATAATGGTTTTGATATCTTCTTATAAGAAAAAATATTTCGGCATCCGGAAATTTAAAAAATTATAAAAGTTTCATAATATATAATGCTTATATAAGTATGTGTTATACAATTTTTTTTTATTGTACAAAATCATTTTAAAGAAATGAAATCAACACTTAAAAATTTAGTGTTTATATTATAATTTGTAAATTGTAAGAAATACAAAAAATGTTTTCAAATAAAAATTATTTCTTTTTTATCATCTAGTAAAATATTTATTAATTGTTTATATAATTAAAAAAAAGTTATATTAAAATTAATTTTTTTAATTTATTTTTCAACATAAAATTTTTAATCAGCAACCTAAATAAATAATAAATAAATAAAAACAAAATGAATATTTTTTGTTTTTAAATGGGAATATAAAAAAAAAGAAACTTATAATTTTACAATATTTTTATTTTGAATATACTCGTCAAATTTCTTTATTTTTTATGTATCAGATAATAAAGAAATTCAGTAAAGATGAATATAAATAACAGTGAAAGCATATATATAATCTGAATAATATTATGAATTATTCTTCATAATAGTAAAATTCTTCGAAAGAATGTTGTAAACATAAAAAACTTATTTCATCATGTATAATTTTTTCACATTATATAATATATATAATGATTGCCATATATGAAATAACAAAGTGGTCGTACGAAATCTTATTTCAAAAAAACGAATTCTACGGAATTTTCAAAATTATTTAATTTCTCATTAATATATCCATTCTTATACCATGCTTAAAATATATATATAAAACATGTAATACTTTAATGACAAAAATTGATTATGAATGAAAAAATAATTTAATATTATTCTGTGCATATAGATTAATGTTGTAATTATATAATAAGATAGGAAAAATCCGATTGTATTATATACATCAAGCGGTTATCTTTCTTACACCTTCAAATATAATAAAAACCTATTTATGTTTTAAATCTATAACGTAATCTAATATTATCTATATATTATTTAGATTACTGATTTTCTGTTAAAAAATTATTAATTTTTTTGTTTATAACTTTTTTAAATTGTATAAATTAATAAATGTTTTAGCAAACAATAGTTCTGAAAAGAAACAAGTTTTATCTAAAAAAATTTTGTGTATTTCTTACAATTTGCGAATTATGATAATGTAACATCGAAAAATAATCGAATATTCAAGAGTTGATATGATTTCTTTAAAATAATTTTGGGTAGTGAAAAAAATTGCACATACTTATATAAACATTGTATATCTCGAAAATTTCATAATTTTTTGAATTTTCAGATTAAAAATCATTCCTTATTAACTAACATATTTTGAACAAATTTGACTTATCAAACTAAATTAACAAATATGCAATTGCATTCTCAATTACATGACATTCAAAAAATTGAATGGATTTAAAAAAACAACAAAAAACAAAAGAATATAAATATAAAATATTATTGTTAATAAAAATTATTTTTTATTAAAACTAACATTTAATTTTTATAAAAAAAATTATTATTAATTACTATCTATTTAAATTATTATTTATTTTAATTATTTTACTATAAATTTTTAAAAATGTTCAAATATTTTTATAAAAGGAAAAATAATTATGATTTTGTTTCATTTTTAATATCATTTTTTATATCAAATTTCTTAAATAAATTATTCATATTTATAAAATACAATAAAATATAATAAAATATTCTATCGAAAGAAACAAGTTTGAATTTTTTTCTATAATTAACAAACAGTTGTTAAAGTTAAGCATATATTAGTATCGAAATTTTTGTAAATAACTACGTATTCGTGAATTTTTAAAAGATCTATTTTAAAGTTTAAATAAATACAAAAATTGGTATGTATATGTGTATATATGTATGCGTGCATATGTATATATTTAATATGCACTAAATTTATGAAAAAAAAATTGCATAGAAAAATATAAAATGCTAAACAAATATTTCACAATGAATTTATTGTCCTTAATATTTTGCAATGTTTTGAAATACATTTTCACAAAATACAAAGGAAAGATTACAAATGATGTTATACATTTTTAATATTATTCAATAATGTTATGACATTTCATAAATATGAATGATAATATTATTGCAATTCAATATAAGATATATAATATAATATTAAATATGATATTAAATATTATCACATGAATTATAAAATATAAATATCAAGGCAAACGAAATTTAAAAATAATATTTTTATATAAATATTGTAACAATATATATGTTTAAATTATATATATTGTAATTAAAATTTTGAAAATTATTTCTGTTTAGTTGAATAATAATCCCAGTTAAATTTACATGAAACAGATTTTGTTGAATGTTTGTTGTAAGTTTTATAAATAGAATGGCTACAAATTTGAAGTAAGATGTGTTATATTCAGATGCAATTATAGTAATGTTAGCAAATTGACAAAATAAGTTTATTAAAACATATAACTTATAATATAAGTTATATATATTTAATATTTGATTTTTTGTCAAATTAAAAATTAAATTATAAAAACATTTTGATGATAGAAAAATAGTAAAAATTAAACAAATCCTGCAATTTCAATTTAAATTTTAAATGAAAATATTAACTAGCATCTATTTATCTGTTAACTTTTTTGAAACATAAATATTTAGAATAAAAATATTATTAAATATTATAAATATTAATAAAAATCATTATATGAATTCAGTTTTTTTTTATTTTAGTATATAGTAAAATAAATATTAAAGTAATCAATAATATATTTTATAAATAAAATAAATTTTAAATGTTAATTATGTAATTTTATTAACTGAAAAAGAATCTACATGTTTCTGTTCTTTCTACTACCAGACTATACTATGTAAATTCTGTTGTGCTTGTATCTTCAATTTGATAGATTATATTAATGAAATCTGTTCAGTTTTTGTTGTTTATTTTTTTATTCTATTAATATCAATGTTCTGTCTGCAAAATCTAAGCCTAATTGTGAAAACAGATGGCTATTATGGATTTATAAATAAATTTTGTCAATATATGTTATTAATTTGCAATCTGTACATAAATGATTTATTGAGATAATTTTATATTATTATATTTTTTTATAATATTATGTAATATTATAATTTAAAACAGAGATGAATTCGCGAACAATTGTGCTTCATTGTGTCTCTTTTTGCCTATTTGAAAACCTGTTTGAAAAGAAAAATTATAAAGATTAAGCTTTTTTTATATAGAACTTTAAAGAACTCCTTCGGGAGTCACATGAATCTACTATTAGCAAATATTTTTTCAATTGCTTACAATTATATTTCATATATTTTGTTCAATAGTTATTTTGATCATAATAGAAATCATTAACTAAAAGTGGAAGTCATAGCTCCTCGAAAAAAACAGTAGGACTGAAAGTTACCTAATCGAGAGTTATCCAAGTCTGATTTTTGGAGGAAAAGAAATTCAACAGATGTGTAATTAATTAAATCTAATGTCAAATATTTTTATAAACATATAAAAATACTAAGATATTTTCAAGTTTTTTTTCAAATCTTACTATTTTGCATGTTTAATTACATAAATATAATATTGTCATAAATTTTCAAAATAATTCTATAAAAATATATTTTTTTAATTTTCCCAATCTTCACATTTCTGAAATAATATATATGATTTATAAAATTATATATATATATATAGAGCGATTTAATAAAATTTATTTTTCATGAAATCGAAGTTATAAAAATATAATACAAATTAATACAGTTTTTAATAAATTAGAACTTACTTGCTGTCCTTTTTCACTTAAACATTTTAATAAATTTTGTGAGAATTCACACTTTTCTCGTTTATTTGATTCAAGATAATGAAAACATTCTATAATTGATTCTTCAACAAAATCCTTCAATTCTGGATTTTGAATATTTTGGCTCATTAATAAAATTATTGAATTTCTTTCTGGAAATCCTTTTTGATCAACCTATTATTTAGCATGCAGCTATAATTAATTAAATAAGATAAATTTTTTTATTTTAAGCTCAATAGTAC